AATATTAATAATCAATATTAATTGTACCGATCGATATTAATATTGATGATGTTAATTACTATATTAATATTAATTTCATTTCACAAAAATATTACTGAATTAGTATTCCATTGGCAGAGTCACCTGCCCCCACACCAGGCTATCTGCACTGGGCCCCCTCAAGCAGAGCCCTGGCAACCGAAGACCTCCGGAACCCAGCCACAGCCATGCTCAACGCCACTCTTCACATGTTCAGATGAGCCTCACGCATAAAGGAACCAGCAGAGGAACCCAGGTGTGTGGGACCCGGGGCTGAGATCTGCAAGCCTGCTCAGATACGGACTGGGCCTCCACCACCCAGATCCCCCATTTTCCAGGAGTTTGGCAATCATACCCACAAACTGCCCCCTGCACCATGTAATCCCATCAATGGCCAAAATCCAGACACTATAAAACAAAGTTCCCGGAAGCAACCTCTTATAGTCTAGCTTCCTCCCTCTCAAAAAACCCAGCAAGCTTGTGAAGCTTCCTATAAGGAAGTGAAAATTTATGACAATATGCCAAATGCACGCAGCCAACATGGCCGACCCGAGTTCGATTCCTCTGCCCCTCTCGGAGAGCCCGGCAAGCTACCGAGAGTATCTCGCCTGCACGGCAGAGCCTGGCAAGCTCCCCGTGATGTATTCGATATGCCAAACACAGTAACAACAAAGTCTCCAATGGAGACGTTACTGGGCCCGCTCGAGCAAATCGACGATCAACGGGAGGACAGTGACAGTTACAGTGATGTATCATATAGACATAGAATAGGTTATAACCTGCTTAAAGGATGAAATGGTTCCCTAAATTTAAAAAAAAAAACTGTGTGCACACATGCGTGTGTATGTGTGCGCACACACACGTGTGTTTGTGTGAGTGTGTGTGTGTGTGTGTGTGTGTGCGCGCATGCACATGGCTTTAAGCTGTATTGTCAGAGAGTAAGTAAGCAAAACTTACATTCTACAAGAAAATATCTTTCTAATCTATCAGGGTCTTTAATAACAGCTTGTTGTGCAGATACTTTGCAATATCTTAAACTGTAATTTCCACTACTTAGCATTTGATTCTATTAAATCAAAATGTATTCTATTCTTAAGTACAATAAGCATTTTACAAGTATGCTACAATAATCTTTTATTCATTGAGGTGGGAAGGGAAGCACCCAGAAAGGCTAGTTAGGGACTATTCCTGGTTTTATTACCCCCCCACCCCAGAAAAATTCTCTCATTGATGTTCTATCAAAGCTGTGTATGAGGTACTGATTTATCACTGAAGCTTAAAGGTCAAGTCTACTGTCAATTTCTTAACCACCTCCAAGTCCATTCACAACAAAAAATAAACTCAGTGGATCTCAATTAAAATCAACTGAAAATTTTCTCCCACCAAACAACCAGTATCCATCATCCAATTTTATTTGTAAGTGATATCAACAAACAGAGCTACTGCTAGACTAACCCAAATTATCCAATGTATCAATAACCAAGTAACTAAAATTTTTTTTTGTAAAAGTAAGGATCCATTAGCTCCTTACTAGAATGGAGATGCAAAATTTCTTGGTTTCATTATGAAAGGGCTAATTTTCACTTTAAGATATTCAACCCAGAGCTGGTGTAAGTGGGTCGGGCATTTGCTTTGCACATGGCCAACCTGGGTTTGATCCCCAGCATCCCATATGGTCCCCTAAGCAATGCCAGGAGTGATTCCTGAGTGCAGAGCCAGGAGTAACCCCCGAGGATCTCCAGGTATGACTCAACAAGCCAAAAAAAGAAAAAAAAAGAAGTTCAACCCAATCTAATCTTTAATTGCAATGGAATCATGAATGTGATTTTCCCATTCCCAAAAGTTAAGGCTGCCAGTTTAGATACATTTATTTTGGTTTGTTTTGGTCAGGAGCCACTCCTGGCTCCATATGCAGGGACCAAACCTAGGTCACAGCTTCAGTCACATGCCAGACAAATACCTTGACCACGTTACTATTTCTCTGGCCACAGCAGTGCTCAATGGCTACTCCTGGCTCTGTAGTCAGAGGACATTACACAGTACTGGGGATTCAAAGTGAGGAGGGTCATACACAAGGCAAGAGCTTTAATCACTGTACTAGCTCTTGGCCCATATCCATTGAGTTTATTGAGCCTAAAAAGATTTTAAAATGCCCAAGGTACAGCAAGGTAAAGACAATCCTTTTCACTAATATTTCCTAGTATATGAATGCGTGTATTTGAAGGGAATGCATGCCTTAGAAGGCTGGGCAACATGGCCCTTCTCACCCTCTCCAATTCCATTTGTGCTTAAAAGAACACTGAATGCATTAGAAGCCAGGCTTCAGGAGTCAATTTTCAGCACTATGAGAAAAGGATAAGGATGAAATGGCATATATTCCATCTCAGTTCTAGCCTACCATAATGTGGACAACTGTTCCCACTTGCCTTCACCTTCTTTTTGTTCATGGAAAAACATTCAAGTGTTTAACAAAAACATTGATCCCTCACATCAATCCCAAACAGAATGACTCTGTAGATGATTCAGTAAGTCTGCAATTTAAGATGAATGTCACTACCAGTTCTTATCTGTTTATAAACCAATGATTCAAATAAAGTGCATGGGGATTAAAAATATGAAGAAATGAAGTCTTTCCACCCATATCAAAAATTAATTTGTAATGGTAGGATAAATACAAGCTATCAACACCCAAGTTTACAGGCTTATGATCCATAAACATCTCATTGTATCACTTCATTTTCCAATTAATTACTAAAATAAAAACATAATGCAAATGCACTACAAATATACTCTGGTGAGGATACCAACTGTCAAATTTGTCACTTAAGAATAAAGAGATACAATTAAATACAGTATAATTTTAAGTAATATATCTGTGACATCAAATTTTCTTGCTAAAATTGTTTAATTTTTTAAAACATTTATACTGACCCACTAAATTTGGTAGAATCTGGGTCATAATAAGTCAAGGAATGTCATTCTTATCTAGTTACATACCTAATTTTCTGAGATGCATTGTATAAAATAAGTACCTAAAATCTCCTCTTGTACAATAAATCACTCATTAATTAAAGTGGAGCAGTTCTTTATTTAAAAGTCTTTTGTGAATAAAAAGCATTGTTTTGTTAAATGAACCACCTGCCCTGAAGTAACATTTTTGTTCAAGATACAATTTACTTAAAATAGTACACTTACTCTCATGCTCATTAAAAAGTAATCAAGAAATGGAAAAGTCATTAACTTTACCTTCCTGTTAACCCATTATCCCCTGAAAACAAACTTTGTGGCCAATGACCCATCTCAGGACACCAAATGATGTCACAGTAACACAACCCAATTATATTTGTAAAGAATTTTCACCTCTACTGCAAACTGGGCAGGCAAGACTGGCCACATCTGTGGCAAAGAGGAGAGGTGAGGGCTGGGGGTGGCATCTATGCCTGCTCTGGAGACAGTGAGAGAAAGATCAAGCAACTTGGTAAGAGCCCCAGCCAAGCAGGGGACCTCAGTCCTCAGGTCAACTGGCTTCTCCCAGCTTCCATCTCCCTGCACAAGCAACTAAGCGGTCAGTGCTTCTGATCTTTCTCACCCTCTCCAATTCCATTTGTGCTTAAAAGAACACTGAATGCATTAGAAGCCAGGCTTCAGGAGTCAATTTTCAGCACTATGAGAAAAGGATAAGGATGAAATGGAATCCAACAGTTAAATCCCCAAGTACAATATTGAAAATTTACCCCTTCGTGTCACAGCTGAAATTGGCAGCCTCCACCACTGCTCAGGGCTGGCTGCACACAATCTTCAGAACAGCTTTCAAATAAATCAAAAAACCTCAGATAGTTTGAATGAAAAAAATCCACAGTTGATAAAATCAATCGTTCTAGTTCTAACTCAACCATAAGTAACATCAAAGGATTGTGAGACGTGTTTTTGTTCTCTTCTTAAGAAATTATTATTTTTTTCTATCAAGCTCAAAGTGGCTTCAGAATCAAGATGCAGAAAATTAAACCTCTTCCAAAAGATTTAGAAGCTCAGGCTTAGAGCCACATCAGCAAATGCAGAGGATGTTATGGTTTGGAAACCAAAGCAGTAGCCACACACACCTGTACATTTTAAAGGGGAACATTTGAACAACAAGAAAAGATGTCTCATAATGTCAAAGAGCATGCTCTTCAGAATATATAGCTAAGGGGATTTAGTGAAAAGTTTAGGCGAATTTGTCAGTAGAGAAGAGAATCAATTTATAATTTTAGACACAAAGAAAAATCTGTCTGTGCTAAGACCTCAATAAAAAGAAAAAATATTCTCAAGATAAAGTAAGACATGCATGTATTTGCACCCAGGAAGCCCAGCATCATACCTCATTGTAATGCTGTTATTTATAATAAATGCTCATTTTTTTTCTAGTACATAAGCTATTAACTCAATCCAGAAACCTTTCGGTCACTCCTTCTGTAAGCAAGCGCACAACTAGGAAAATGCTCACATTTCCAGGTCAAGTTCCAGAGGGTAGTCTAAACTGGTTTCATTTTTATATTCAATACACACAAATCCAGGACTGTAAGACAGCAGGCTTTGAACAGAGGTTTTTCCCTGCAGGAGGCTTGGGTTCCATCACTGGTAAGAGTGGTCCCAGAGCACTGGGGGCACACCCCCTGCACAGAGACGGAAATAGCCCCCCAAAACCACAACACCTGGTCAAATACCAAAAATCCATTACCTCACACATCTCAACCTGGCTACTCAAGGGTTGACAAAATCACCATTTCTCTCCTTCTACAACTGTCTCAGCCCTAATCTCTGAATGTATTTGACAGATAAACACACAGACTAAAACAGAGGCAGAACAACACACACCACAATATGGGGCAGACATCTGCTCCTTCCCACTCCCCACCCAGCCTTGCCTGCTGCGAAACCCCTAGTCACTCCTAACTCTACCACGCTGCCCCATCAAAGCAGCTCCCCAGCACATACTGACCCACCATTCATGCCGCTGTAGACACTCCGGTGATGGGGTGACAAGTCCTCCTGCACCTGTCTTCGGAGGGTGCCCTCCCGGCTGCCTCCTCCACTGCCTCCACCTCCTCCGCCCATGTGTTTGTGATCAGGGGTCCCCGCATAATGCTGTTTCAGGTGCTCAGGGCTAGTCCCCCTGGCTCTGGGGAGATGCTCCAGGCTCCCACTGAGGGCGTGCTTCTGCAGGTGCTCAGGGCTGCCTCCACTGTGCCTGGCGTGCTCAGGACTGCCCCCTGGCCGGTGCTTCTGGAAGTGCTCAGGGCTCCCACTCAGCATGTGCTTGGGCAGCATCTCGGGGCTGCTCCCGGGGTGCGGGTGCCTTTGCTGCTCCGGGCTGCCCTTACACAAGGGTTTGTGGTGCTCGGGGCTGGGTCCTTTGAGTGCCTTTGGGTGATCTGGGGTCCCGGAGGTCCTGGGTTTCTGGAGATGCTCGGGACTGGTGCTCCGGTGCTTGGAGTGCTCTGGGCTGCCCTCACTCCGGGGCTTCTGCAGGTGCTCAGGACTGCCGCTGCTGGCATGGTGCTTGTGGTGATCTGGGCTGTCGGTGCTGCCCGTGCTGGACGTGCTGCTGCCGTCACCCACATCCCGCACGTAGGGGGCGGTGGAGGCTGCAAGCTGGCACAGGCTGGCCTGGCTGTCGATGGAGCAGCGGCTGCCAGCACAGCCAGCACCCTTTTCCTCGTCCAGCAGCACGCAGAGCTCTTTGAGCTCCATATTCTCCTTCACTACCTCCTCCTGCTTCACCTCCAATTCCTTCAACTTCTGCAGGTATAAGGCCACTTCCTTGTGCATCACCCCAGCCGTGTAGCGGCCCAGTCGCTGCCACTCCCGGGAAACCCTCTTGCCTTTCTGCCGGTCATCGTCCAGGAAACAGCAGAGGTCCCTCAGCTCCTGGTTGTCCTCCTGGAGTTTCTGGTTGATATCCTGAATGAAAGGAGAAAAAGGGATATTCAGAGAAGGATCCCAGGTGTTGCATCAGCAGACTCAGACTTCTTGGGAGCCAGAGCCCGGGACTGGTGCATTTGCTGTGATGTTAGGGAACAGGGGCAGAGGAAGGGAAAGATTGGAGCTGCCATAAAAATAGAAGCAGGGGGTTGTTATGCTCCCTACCCAGTCCTTTGCTTGTATTAGCTCATCTGAATTTCAGAAAAAAAAATTAGGGATAATGACTGTTAAATGGTTTTTTGACAAAGAGGAAATTGCATCCTGCAAGGCTTCACTTGTCCAAGGTCATCCGCTAAGTATGTAGGGAGCAGTTAATTATCATAAAATCATTTTTTTAAAAAAGTCTCCCTTATCTCACATTCAAAAAGAAATATGGTCTACTATGACTGGGAAATGCTAACAAACAGGCCTACAGAGTAAACAGGCACCATCGAGGTCTTCAGCTCATGCCATGGGATGGGCAGCTGAATCCCACACTGGGTAACAGCACAATTACTCTCCAGTAGAATTTCAACCCTGCACTGGACATTTTCTGGGCACATCTCACTATACCACTGAGCAAAGTGACACTCTTTGATATTCAAATCCTCCTCCAAGGGACAACTCTCAGCAAACACCACCTCCCTACTTTCTGTCACTCATAATGGCAACTGGAGTTTATCACTGGCACCTTCATTTCCTTCACCTCCCACTCCCAAGTTAAATAAGTCTCCTGACCTACACCTCTGAAATTTATCTCTCTCCTCATTTCCAGGCTTTAAAATCCTGAATGTCTACTCACTTGTGCTAAGACAGAGTATGAAATCATTCAAGTCTATGACCCAGCTTACTTCTCCAGCATAAGTGATGAGTTATTCTCTTATTTTCAAATATTTAATAAGTAATCATCATGTACCAGGAACCAGTTCAGATGTTACGAATATTATCAATGCACACAGCCAAGACTCAACATCTTAGGTTATCATACCGATGGAAAAGTCTGGCAGAAAGAAAGCAAGCCTTAGAGCCTAATTTCTGATGGAGTAAAGCATTGGGAAGAATACAGAAGCAGCAGAAAAAAACATCTCTGGAGAGAAGAAAAATATATTAGCAAAGACTTAGGTGAAATAATGGAGGCAAAATTTGTAGGCGGTAATCTCAGGCAGAGAAAAGGCCAAGTACCAAAAGCTTGAGACAAACGTGCTAAATTGCAGGGAGGCGGGTGTGCCTGAAGCACAGTGAAAGAGAGCAGAGCTGGGAAGGGAATCTGGAAGCCTTCAGGGCCAGAAAAAAGTCAGGCTTAGTCAGGCACGGGAACAATTTTGTGAACTAGCTGAGACTAGAGGGGTGACTTGAAAAGATCCATTTTGCAAGGAACCGCCAAAGTGCTGTGTGGACAATCATCTGAGTGGGGCCAGAGGATAGGCGTGATCAGAATAAGGGAGACAGGGTAAAGCAGAAGCTAGGAGACCAGCTAGGAGCAACCAGGCTACTCCAGGGTGACAGAGAGGATGGAGGCAGAGGCATATGGCAGCGGTGCAGAGCTCACACCATCATGCATGAGTCCCTGGCAAGGACAATTCCTCACTCCTTGCCCATTCACACACAGAGTAAAAGGACCAATGGTTTCTGGAAGCTCTATAGTCTGGTAGGAGTGAAATGAGGGCAGCTACAGGCAATGACCTAAGAGTTCCACTAAAGACTGTCCTTTAAGTGTGATCATCCAAAGCAGAACTAAAGGTTCCCAGGGAGGAATTTCATTCTCTTGAATACCGGCTGACGCCATCACTTCCCCTGATACTGACAAGAATGATGAACTATAAAACATCTGCTAGGGTCCAGGAAAATCACTCAAAAGAACTGGAGAGAATGCCTCGTTTATTGATGCCCTGGGCTTGATCACTGGGAACACGTGATCTCCGAAGTATCCAGTTGAAAGTGGTACTGAGCATGGCCTGATGTGGCCCCAAAACAACAACAACAAAAAACGCCATCTGCCAACCATGAAGTGCTCACGAAGGAGATCTGTTTCCAAGTTAGACTTGAAAATTCCAAGTCTAACTTTTGGCATTACCAACATCTCTGTTTATAATGCCTTTGTTTCTTTTTCCCACTCTCTGACTCCAGGCCGGGGAATTTTCCAAAGTCTCCATACTCTGTTCCGCCCATCTTCCTTCCCTCATCTGGTCTGACTGATCTTCAAATCCATCCCCTTAGCATTATGTCTCTCTTCTATATCAACTCCATCACCTTCTCCTTGCTAGAAAAATATAAATCAATCCTTTGGCTGAGGCCCAATGGTCCATCCTGAGCTCTCTCTACATCTTATCAAGCCTCATATTTAGCTTTCCAACCAGAAAACACTGTCTTTTATAAATGAGCTTACTGAGGAGGAAAGATCTCTGCTAAATCCCCTCAGACTTCTGATGTACAATCGCACACCGGTACCACATATAGCCCCTTGCGTCCTCCAGGAGTAGTCCCTGAACACAGAGCCATGAATAAAGCCCTGAGCATTATAGAGTGCATCCTCCTAACCAAAAACCAATCAATCAAGTAGACCGTTAAGAGATTAACTAACCTTGCCTCATAGCATATATATTCCAAATTTTCATTCTTAAGGCTCTCAAGTATTTTATCTGGTTTAAGAACTGTTTGGGATGGCTAGTTAAAGAAGGCATGAAAAAGAGGGAGAGGAAGGAAGGCAGGGAGGGAGTAAAAGAGGGAGGGAGAAGTCTGAGTCTGGTTCCCATTCACTTTTTTTTTTTTTATGTAGGAGTACTGCTATTTATTCAGCCACTGATTAGCTGATTGAATTGGGCATGAACTCCACCTTACTTTTTTTTTATATAATTTTATTTATTTATTATTTATTTTCTTCTTATTTATTTATTGAATCACTGTGGGAAAAGCTACAAAGCTTTCAGATTTAAGTCTCAGTCATACAATGATCAAACACCTTTCCCTTCACCAGTACTTATTTTTCACCACCAAGAACCCCAATAAACCCATTCACTCTTTTAATGCTCTAAAATATACTAGAACATTCACTAGGCCTTTTTTTTTTGGAGGGGGGTCTAATACAGCAATCTCAGCTTCAGGAGGGCAAAGCTTATTTCAATGTATGTGCACATTTGACACCCCTAACTGGTACCTTGCATACAGTGAATACCATTTACCTGTCTATGGACTGACCAATCCTCTTAATGCCCTAGGTCTGTGGTTAAAAAAGGATATAGTTCTAGCTCCAGAAAAGTAAGTTCTCATTGTTGCTTTCAGCAGTCCCCTGCTGTATTGTATTCTACAGTGATGAAAGAATTAATGATTCCTTAACACTGTTGCTTCAGATGAAATCATAAACTGGGGATATTCTGAGAAATTAATACTGAACAAAAGTAATCTTTCTAAGCTTCAAAAATTATTCCACTTTTAGTTTAATCCTGGCATTTCACAGAAAGTTCAAGTCATGTTTTCCTTCATCTAAATGAATTTCCATCTAAAAATACTACTCTTGGGCTGAAGAGATAGTACAGTGGCTAGGGCATTTGCCTTGCACACTGCTGTCCCAGAATCAACCTCTGGCACCCCATAAAGACCCCGGAGCACCATCAGGAGTGATCCCTGAGTGCAAAGCCAGGGGTAAGCACTGAGCACTGCCAAATAAGGCCCCCAAATAAAATTTAAATAAATAAAAATACTTTCCTTTAAATATCTGACAACTATTCCTGATTTCTTCCAAACTGGGAAACAAGCAGGAACTGTGCTAGCCTGGGCTTCAAGAAGTTACTGCGTTCTAATTGGAGTAAAACATTTCTCAGAATTCTTAAAGAATATAACCAAGAGAGTTCCAGCCCATCCAATTTTCTTTATCTCAGCTCTTCCTTCCAATAAATTTTCTTCAGACTATAACTTACTTTCCATTTCTGATCTATTTCCTTTTCCTTCTGTAGAAAAGCCAAGCAAGCAGTTTACAATAACCTTATCAGATAGCTCTTTGAATCTAACATATTGAGTTTTGAGCTTTGTTCTCCAAATATTTAGTATCTTTTTAACACTGCACTGGCCCCCAGATGTTAGCCATTGGGACAGAGAGATAGTACAATGGGTAAATCATTTGCCTTGCATGCAACTGATGTGGGTTCAATCACCGGTACCACATATAGCCCCTTGCGTCCTCCAGGAGTAGTCCCTGAACACAGAGCCATGAATAAAGCCCTGAGCATTATAGAGTGCATCCTCCTAACCAAAAAACCAATCAATCAAGTAGACCTTTAAGAGATTAACTAACCTTGCCTCATAGCATATATAATCCAAATTTTCATTCTTAAGGCTCTCAAGCATTTTATCTGGTTTAAGAACTGTTTGGGTCGAAAGTAGACTATGGACTGAACATGTTTGCCACTCAATGCCTCTTTTGCAGACCACAACACCCGAAAGGAGAGAGAGAACACAGGGGATTGCCCTGCCACAGAGACGGGGGGATGGGGGGATGGGGGTGGGAGGGATATTGTCCATGGTGGTGGAAAATGGGCACTGGTGGAGGGATGGGTATCTGATCATTGTATAATTGAAACCAAAGCACAAAAAATTGTAAATCTACAACTTTAAAAAAATAAAATAAAATAAAGGGGGAAAAAAAAAAAAAAAAGAACTGTTTGGGGAAGGGGGCATTCCGGTCCGTCCTTCAGGCCCTACCGAGGTCACCAGCTGCCCCCCACGAGCGGCTCTCCAGCACGGCCACGGCCCCAGAAGCACAAGGACTTAGCGCAGAAAACCAGCCGCTTGGAGCAGAAAAGCGAATGGTCTATGCGTTAAACTGTGCCATCAGGCCTGCCCGGAGGGGAAAGGGTGTTGCCCCATTCGCACTCTCCTCTCTGGAAAGAAAGATGGCGGCCACACGGGAGCCTTGTGGACAGCAGGTTTGAGGGGGGGGGGGGGAGGCGGCAGGAACCTCATGGGAAAGGGGGCGTTCTGGTCCGTCCTTCACGCCCTACCGAGGTCACCAGTTGCCCCCCACGAGCGGCTCTCTGGCACGGCCACGACTCCAGAGCACAGAAACCAATCTCTTAACTACCTAACTTTTAATAGAAATACTTCCAGGGTTAATAAGTAAAATAGCAGAAATTCAAAACATTCAAATCATTTAATTCTTAAAACCCAGCTGTAGAAAGTAAATCATTTCACAACGCTTTCTCAGCATGTCTGATTTGGGGGGAGTCGTAAACTCTAAATAATAATGGTGCATCTTTTATCGAAACAATGAATCTAGTCAAAGTAGATAGAGTGTTAACTAGAACTCATCTGCCTCACAGGAATTGGGAGGGGTGGGAGGTGGGGTTCTATTGGGGTTTGCGGTTAAAAATAAGTATTGGTAAAGGGAAATGTGTTTGATATTTACATGACTGAGACCTAAACCTGAAAGCTCTGTAACTTTTCCCACAGTGATTCAATAAATAAACAAATTATTTAAAAAAAGAACTGTTTGGGATGACTAATTAAAGAAACTTTGGTACATCTACACAATGGAGTACTATACAGCTGTTAGAAAAGATGAAATCATGAAATTCATATACAAGTGGTACTACATGGAAAGTATCATGCTAAGCGAAATGAGTCAGAAAGAAAGGGACAGACATAGAAAGATTGCATTCATTTGGGGAACATAAAGTAACAAAACAGGAGACTAACACCCAAGAATAGCCGATATCAGTATCAGGAGGATTACTCCATGGCTTTGAGGCCAGCCGCACATGCTAGGGGAAAAGGCAGCTCAGATAGAGAAGGGAGCACCAAATAAAGGGTGTTGGGAGGTTCCTCTCAAGATGGGAAATGCGTGATGAGAGTAGACTATAGACCGAACAAGATTGCCATTCAATGTCTTTTTTGCAAACCACAGCACTCCAAAGGAGAGAGATAACAAAAGGGAATGCCCTGCCACAGAGGTAGGGGTGGATGGGGGGTTGGGGGGTGGGAGGTATACTGGGACTGGTGGTGGTGGAGAATGGGCATTGGTGGACGGATGGGTATTCGATCATTGTATAACTGAAACCCAAGCACAAAAATTTGTAAGTCTACAACTGTACCTCATGGTGTTTCACTAATAAAAATTTTAAAAAAAAAAGAACTGTTTGGTTATGCCTTCTTTCTTCATTGTGGGGTGGTTTTGGAGATCAAGGAGGAAGATTAATGTGCTACTGATTCACAAAGATGCAGTTCCCCTAAATCTACAAAGATCTACTGACGGACAATATTTGGTTCCTTCAAATGCCTACATCTCACAGCAGCCTGAGTACTGGAATGAGCTCAGCAGTGCAGATACTCAGGGATCCAGTTCCTTTCAAAACTCAGTTTTCTCCTCTTTCAGGGCCACCCATCCCACTTCAAGAACACCAAGGAGCCAAAAGAAGTCACTCTATTGTAAACATTATGTCTGTGTGACCTTAAGAATGCCATTGAACCTCCCTCGAGCTTCTTCATCTCTGTGTCATGTAATTCTTAGCAAACTTTTTGTGGACTTAAGGTCTCCATTCAGCTGATGCAAAAACTGAGACTTGGGGAGAATCGTTTGTCTGGGCTACCCAAACTGTCATACTCTAAATCTTTTGTCCTCCTTTATCCCATGACATCACATTGTAAATGGTTTATAAAGAAACTCATGAGGCAGAGTTTAGACTCACAGGCAAGCTCAAGGAAAAGAAACTATGCTGCCTTGGGGCTGGAGAGGGTGCAGCAGGTAGAGCTCCTGCCTTGCATCAAGCCAGCCCAGGTTCGATCCCTATCCTGGGCATCCTACATTGTCACCCAAGCACAGCCAAGGGTAATTCATGAGTGTAATCAGATGTAACCCTGAGCATCATTGGGTGTGGCCAAAAAAAGAAAAGGATCGACACTACCATGTCCACATGTCTACAGCTCAGCACCACCCAAAAGCTTGGAAAATACCTATTTCAAAGGCAATTTACAGACAGACCATAACAGGAAAAAAGACAAGTGTGGTCACCTTAATTATTCTAAATAGAGTCCCAACTGAGAGTCCCAAACTATGGAAGGTAAAAATAAAAAATTCCTTCCTTCTGGCAAAATCAAAGTAAATGTAACAAACATATGAATCACGTTGGTCAGCAGTATTTATGGATCAGCAAGACGTCCACAGAACATAGGGACTGAGAGGGATAGGGTAACAGAGAGGCAGCAGGGCTTTATCACAGAACCCTAGGAATGGGTGAGAGGTGCTGGAGCTAAGTGCCCTACAGCTGCTCCCTATGGCTGCTCAGGATGAAGGGAAGGAGGAACAGTGTCTGTGGCTCCAAGTGACCAACCTCATCATGTCTTTACTAGATAAGGAGATGGGTTGGACAGTCATCTTATGCCAGGTCATGATCCTGGATTACAGAAGACTTTCTTAGGCTAAATCAGACCTTAGCTGCACAAACAGGCAGTTATCTAAATGAGGCTCCTGGAATGAAGACTAGGCTTTGCCATGAACCAAATATAGATAGACACACAACCTAAAAGAACCTTCAGGTATTTAAGCCATGATGTCATGTTATGGCTAAAAACTGCATTTCATCTAGTATCTAAATTGTACTGAATTCTTTAGGAAAAGGTACATTAAAAATGCTTCCGTGTCATATTTTAATAGGAATGAAAGATCCTATTGGAAAGTTATGAACCATACATTGCCCAGTTTTGCCTAAAAGAAAACCTAGATCCCGGAGATGTCCATGTACAAATCCTCTCCTGATGACAATAACTACCATTCTCGTGGACAAGTCCACTGTTAAACCTTCCTCTCTAATCATAATTTGACATAGTTCATATCATCTCACTAAACTCTTTTACTGATAAGCAGGATGAGACTATGAGGAATTAATTACCCAAGATTATGCTCCTGCCCAGTGAGCAGTTTAGATGCAAACCCAAAATGATCCTCCCACTACACTAGCCAGCCTCTAACCCCAAGATTCCGGTACTCAGTAAGTACTCCATTAGTCATGAACTAAACACAAGGAAAGAGTAAGCCCTGAGATGGTTTGAATTGTGAAAGCGTCTTCTTAACTGCACTCACTTGAGAGTTCATATGACAGTCGGTGGGGATCCTGGAGTCAGGGAAAGGTGGCTTCTCCACCTGGAACTGGGCCTCGCCCAGGTGAGCATCTGAGGTTCGCCCCCCTCCACTCCCCTTGGCTACAGAACCCCAGAGCTGAAGCCAGGAGGCCACCAAGAAAACGGTAAGCGCCAAAGGGGGGTGGGGGGGTGGAAAGGGGACAAGAACAATTTGTGCCTCCGGGAATTTGCTCCCTGAGGCCCCTGCGGCAGTTTCGTTTGTGTCCGGCTTCCTATAAACAAAGCAGAACAATGAGAGGAAGGAATACCAGGAGGCACCAGCGCAAGCCGCGAGGAAAGGAAGTTTGCGGCGCTCGCCGGCAGGGCGGATCCCGCCACCCGCAAGCTGCAGCCGGCGGGGGCTCACAGCTGGCCACCGCAGAGCACCCCGCAACGAGAAGAAAGTTACGGGGGCCTTTTTCATTCTTTTGATTTTCTTGTCTTCATGATAGCAATGAGAAAGGAATGACTCAAAAGAGAAAGCATCACTGACGACTCTTGCGGTACCCCAGCGCAAACCTCTCTCACTGAATTCCTCCGCACTCCCCTCCCCGACGCAGGAGGAAATTAAAATAAAGCTGGGGGGAGGGGCGGGGGAAGGCAACCCAGATGACGCCATCCTAACAGAGGAGAAGGAAAGCCGAGAAGCGGCCAGAAGATGTGAAGTCACAGCTTTCGCTCCGAGCCGGTGACACAAGCCGGCTCCAACCAAGGGTGGCGCCGGCAGCTTCTCGGGCGCCCCGCAAGCCTCTGGTCCTGGCGCCCCATTTCTTACCCATGAGGCTCCCGAAGAACTGGCGCCGGAGCGAGAGGCATCCACGACCTCCAGGGGCGAAGATGCCCTGGCCTCGCCCCCTTGCTCATCTCTTTCCCTGCCAGACTATGGTCCGACTCTCCAAAAGCACTAATTTCCCAGGGCACCCCCAGAAATTCAAGGTTCCGCGCACCCATGTCCCTGCCGGCGTCTCAGCGACCCGGGGCGCCGCTCCTCTGGCCCCAGGGCCACGCGTGAGAGCTGGACGCCGGCGTGCGCCCCGTCTTGAAAAGGGCGGGGTGGGGGGGAGGGGGCAAAAGCCTGCGAAGTTTAGAAAAGTTTCCCCAAAGGGGTGGGGAGCTAGGGGTGCTGCCCCGCAGAAGGGGGGAGACCACCTGTGGCTGGCTGGAGGGAAAGTTTGCCCGGCCCCACCTCCCCGCGGCCCCCCTCCGCCGGGCCCCGCGCTCACCTTGAGCCCGCGGATCTCGCCGAGGTGCAGCTGCAGGCGGCGGTTGACCTCGCGGATGAGGTTGCTGTGGTCCAGCATCGCGCTCACCTTCTCGGCCTCGGCGCGCCGCAGGCTGCGGATCAGCTCCTCCTTGCTCCACTTCAGCAGCTCCTCGTCCGATACTTTGGACAGGTCCTCCACGGCGGCGGCGGCGGCGGCGGCGGCGACCGGGGGGCCGGCCGAAGCCGGGGCACAACTTTCGGCCGCCGGCGCTGCCGCCGCGCCCGCAGCCGCCTTCGACATGGTCCGGGCGCGGGCAGGTGCGAGTGTCTGCGAGAGGCGAGGCGGCGGCGAAGGCGCGCGCGGCCCGCAGCGTCCGCCCACACCGCTGTGCGCTCGGCCGAGTTAGCGGCACCGCCCGGGGACCGCTGCGTGGGGGCGGCAGGGGTCGTGCTGCGCGGCCATCCTACCTCGCCATCCCGGCGCGCGCGCCCGCGCACCCCCGGGGTCGGGCCGCCACCCGCGCCTGGTGGCCGAGGCGCATCTCAACTCCACGCAAGTCCATGGTCGGGGGGGAGGGGGGGAGGAGGAGCGGGGGGACGCCGGGGAGCCTGGCGCCGCGGCTGGAGAACCCCGGGGATGCCGAGGGGGGCCGATCCCGGGAGCCCCTCCCTGCTCCTCCGCCCTAATTCGACACCGCGGTCCCCGGCTCTCTCCCCGCACCGACGCACTCACACCGCACGCACTTTCCTTCCCACCTCCGGGCCGGCAGCCACCGCCTCGGCGGCTCGCGGCTCCAGGCTGCCACTGCGCGCCGGACTCGGCGGCGCCTCCGGATCGGCTCCAGCCGAGCTCGAGCCCGGGGGCTGCGCTGCTCCCGCCGCCGCTCCCGGCTCTTCGGGGAAGCCTGGGATTCGCAGAGCCGCGCGGGAGGGGGGCTGGGGGCGGCGGGGAAAGGCTGGACCAGCAGAAGGAGGAGCTTGCAGCAGCAACGGTCCGCAGCCCGCCGCACCTTCGGCACCGTCCGGGCGTCGCGGCCGCCGCCCCTCCTCCTGGACCCCCCGAGGCGCATTCCCTGCTATCCCTCCCGGGAAGGTCGAGGGGCGCGGGGGAAGCTGGAAGGGGGCGGGGGGGCGCGTGGGGGGGAGCGGCCACCTCTGGCTTTGGGAGGCTCGCGCGCGCCTCCGTGTGGCCGAAAACGCTCCCTGCGCCTCCTGCACGGTGGCTTGTCACCGGTGGGGCAAACCACCACCGCCAGCCTCAAGGAGAGAAGCTTCTATTTGCGGGGATTGGGGTGCTGGAGAGAAAACGACCTGAAAGGTGACCTTCTGTTTTGTACTTGGAACACTGGAAGAAGCCCCCGTGTCAAAACAAAAAGAGGGATAAGAAAAGAACGTTTAAGAAAATCCTAAAGCTCTGGGAAAGGGAGAGAAAGAAGCTTTAGGGCACTGTTCTTTAGGGACCCCACCCCCCAGGCCTTTGTTTTTTTTTTTTCCTACAAATTACTACTTTTTAAAGAAGCTTCAGGAGAAAGTACTGACTCCTTGAGAATTTTGAAAAACATCAAGGCCTTTGGGAGGGAAATAAAATTCCTCATCTCCTTCTCCCTGAGGCTGGATTTTAAGGTCAGCCCAGTCACCTCCCTCCTGAGCAAAGATCAGCCCCTTAGGCAAGCTGAAAGGCCAGCCAAGGAGATTTTCATTTTTCTCCTTGAGGCAAGCTGCTACTACCTACAGGTTAGGCTTTTTATGATGGTAATTTCTGGAAGTGGGTATTCTTTGTTCTGGGTTCTCTCTTTGGGTTTTAAGATTACCTGCCACCACCCAGCCCAGTTTTACCCTCTTTTGAAGATGGATAAAATTCTCTCTAAACTGAAAATACTGTTCTTGCTGCTGCTGTTATCTGTCCAAGATATATCACTAAAAGGAAACATTTCCTTTGTTTCAGTCCAAGGGAGAGAATCAGAACTGCAGGGACTTACCCCAGGGGCCAGGAAGACCTGGGTTCAGAGTGAATATCTCCATCTGGAGGCCAAAACTTATTTAGTCCCTCAACCAGTGAACCTTGTTGACCAAAAATCGTCAGGAGGGACCTCAGGGTCTCTGAGTCCCACGTGGGAAAACCACCAAAATGCAGCCTTAAATTGTTAAAATTTGTGGAGCAGTTCCTCAACTGGTTAAAAAAAAAAACCTGAAGACCCAAAGAAACTGAGTTGAGTCCAATATTAAGAACCATAAAACTTGTCTGGGCATGGATAGTTGAGAATATCCCCTTACCTTGTGGACAAGAGGGTGAAGACCTTGATTGGAAACTTTTATTGCATCCAAAGAGAGTGTGTCTCGGGATCAGTCCAAGGAGCTAATAGATGACCCTGAAACCTACCAGTCTCCAAAAATGCTTCTTAGAAGAAAAAGTGCTTGCTTGTTCTCTTTTCCTACCAAAATTTCTTTTTGTGACCATGCTGAAAAGATAGATTTGGGAAACATAAGTCCTATCTTCTCAGGATGCTAACCCACATAGAAACCTGATTTCCTCACATCAACTCTCATCTCTTGATCATATTTTGGCCTTCAAGCAGCAATTACGGTCACCGGAACTTGGTTCAATGATAATATCACCTTTGTATTGCTCTATCACGTGTTTGCTCCTCCAGAAGGTACCTGAAGGAAAAACTTTCCACAAAGTTCTATGCAGTAGCTGCTGCTGTTAGAGCTAAGTCTCCTTGATGAATGTTTAATGCTTGTAATTTTGGCAATTGATTCAAGATAACTTTTGAATCATCAATGAATAATAATTGTTAAATGAATAATGTTGCTCTGTATTGGTATCAGGAAATTTATTTGACTGCCAAAAACAGACATTCATAAAACAGTTATTAAGAGGAAGTATTTATTTCTTTTCTCATATAACTATCATTCTAAAGAATTGTGGTGTCTTCATAATACTGGGCCCGCTTGAACAAATCAATGAACAACGGGAGGACAGTGCTACAGTGCTACATAATGTCATCAAGATTTAGGCTCCGGGTCCTGGAGTGATAGTAGCAGCAGCCTTGCACCTGGCTGATCCTTGCTGTATCCCACACATCCCCATATGGTCCTGCTAACCTGCAGGAATTGATCCCTGATTGCGGAGCCAGGAGTAAACCCTGAGCATCACTGAGTATGACCTCAAAACAATACCAAACAACAACAGAAAGGTTTAGACTTCTTCGTTCTGTTCCATCATCTCTAACATGGATACCTTCTGGTCACAAGGTAACTTTTTGAGTGCCAACCATCCTCTACATTGGAGCCAGGAAAAAAGTGAGAGGAGGGGCGGTGTGCCCAGCATGCAGAGCCAGGGAACCTGAAGATTCCTCTTCTTGGCCAAGGTGCCCTCTGGGCACCTAGGCTAAAGGGGACCCTCACAAGTCTTGGGAGTACGCCACAAATGAACTAAACTGCAAGCCCCAAGCAGGCATATTATTCAATCTGCCATATGAGTTAAGAGGTTAACAATACTGTCTGTCCTCCCGTTGTTCATCAATTTACTCGAGCAGGCCCAGTAACGTCTCCATTGTGAGACTTCTTGTAAGAGGTTAACAATAAGGGAAGAAATTGTGTTTAATAGGTTTATCAATAGCATGAGTAAAATCAGTTGGATCAATAAGAAATGAGTGATACTGGATAGATATATTGGACGTTTTCATATGGAAACCTTGGTAGTGAACTCAGAGTAAGGGAAGTGGGGTTACATATACAATGTACTGTCCCTGTCCTCCGTTGTTCATCGATTTGCTTGAGCAGGCCCAATAACATCTCCGTTTTGAGACTTATTATTACTGTGTTTGGCATATTGAATACATCAAAGGGTAGCTTGCCAGGCTTTGCCATGTGGGCAAGATACTCTCGGTAGTTTGCTGGGCTCTCCGAGAGGGGCAGAGGAATTGAACCTGGCTTGGCAGGGCTGGCTGCGCACAAGGCAAACACCCTACCACTGTGCTATTGCTCCAGCCCCATACAATGTACATGAATGATTAATTCATGAGTTCTCATGCGATCTAAATGGTGTTTTGAACCAATTCTTTCCCATTTCATCTCATTATTGCCCAGCCCAGGTTCTACTAAGTCTCACCTGACCCCTTTCATGGTTTTTTCAGACTTCAGCATCACATCACTCTCCCTTTTTAAAACTTTCATCTTTTTTTATTAAAAAATTTTTTAATCAAATATGTGAGATATACAGTTATAAAGTTGTTTGTGATTGGGTTTCAGTTATACAATGTTCCCACACCCATCCCTTCACCAGTGTATACTTCCCAGTTTCCCAACACCAATGTCCCAAGCTACCCTCCCACCACCACCCACCACCACCTCAGCCTGCCTCTCTGGCATGCTCTTTTCTTCTCTCTCTATCTCTCTATATCTCTGTCTCTGTCTCTCTCTCACTCTCCTTTATTTTTAATTAGTGAAACACCATGAGGTGCAGTTGTAGATTTACAAACTTAGGTGCTTGGGTTTCAGTTATACAATGATCGAGCACCTACCCCTCCACCAGTGCCCATTATCCACCACCAATGATCCTAGTAGCCCTCCCACCCCCACACCCCATCTCCCCCACCCCACCCCACCTCTGTGGCAGGGCATTCCCATTTGCTCACTCTTTCCTTTAGGGTGTTGTAGTTTGCAATAGAGGTTTTGAGTGGTCATTGAGTTCGGTCTGTAGTCTTCTTTCAGCACGCATCTCACATCCCAAGCAAGTCCTCCAAGCATCCTTTACTTGGTGATCCCTTCTCTATCTGAGCTGCCTTTTCTCCCAGCATGTGCTGCCGGCTTCCAAGCTGTGGAGCAGACCTCCTGTTACTTATCTCAACTAATCTTGGGTGTTTGTCTCCCATTCTGTTACTTTATATTCCCCAGATGAGTGCAGTCTTTCTATGTCTGTCCCTCTCTTTCTGGCTCATTTCACTTAGCATGATACTTTCCATGTAGAACCCATGTAGCCTCATTTTTTGATGGGGTTGGATGTTTTCTTCTTGTGGAGTTCAACCAGTACTTAGTATATCCTTGATATCAACCCCTTGTCAGATGTGTGTTCGGCGAATATCCTTTCCCATTCTGTAGACTGTCTTTGTATTTTGGTCACTGTTTCTTTGGAGGTACAGAAGCTTCTTAGTTTAAGACAGTCTCATTGTCTATCTCTGTTTTCACTTGCTTGGCCAGTGGCGTGACATCTATGAAGATACCATTAGCTTCAATGTCGTAGAGGGTTTTGCCAACCTTGTCTTCAACGTGCCTTATGGATTCCGGTCTGATGTTGAGGTCTTTAATTCATTTTGATCTTACTTTTGTACATGGTGTTAGGTAAAGATTTGAGCCCATTTTTTTTCTCATGTAGCTGTCCAGTTTTGCTAGCACAATTTGTTAAAGAGGATTTCCTTGCTGCACTTCACATTTCTTGTTCCCTTATCAAAGATTAGATGATCATATATTTTGAGAGAGGTGTCAGTATATTCAACCCTGTTCCATTGGTCGTGGCTCTGCCTTTGTTCCAATACCATGCTGTTTTAATTATTACTGCTTTGTAGTAGAGGTT